GGGGGGGGGGGGGGTGGATGGTGAAGTTTCGAATTGATCGATACATTAGGCTATTGTCTATTCGCATTTGGTCATAATTCAAAAACGCTCTATTGAAATGTTTAACAATCTTGTTAAGATTTTCTTGTGGATCAGAATGAAATAACTGATGAAGAGTCTGATGACGAAGAGTCAATAAGTAGCACAGATAGTGAAGAAATCGACGAAAAACAACTTATTACATTTTATTTTAACCGTGGTTTTAGCTACAATGAAATAATTCAATTTCTTGCAAAACAGCATAATTTTTCTATAAGCTATAAAACACTCTGCAGACGTTTAAAGTGATATGGCCTTTACAGACAGGGATTCAACGAACAAGTTAATTCAGAGGACATCTTAGAGATAGTGAGACGACAGATAACTGAAATTATAAATAGACTTGGATCCTGTGGTGGTTACAGAACAGTCTGGCACACATTAAAGATGGAAGGTCTGCAAGTCCCCGAATTGTTGTTCAAGAAATACTGAAAGAGCTAGATCCAGAGGCAACAGAGCGCAGGAAAGCTCACAGGTTAAAGCGAAGGCGGTATCATAATCCTGGACCGAACCATTCATGGCACATGGATGGGCCGGGTATGATAAACTTAAGCCATTTGGCTTTCCTGTCCATGGAGCTATTGATGGATTCAGTAGAAAAAATTTGTGGTTAAACGTGACTCGCTCCAATAATTCTCCAGACAATATTGCTCAATACTATTTATTTAAATGCTGTAGGTGAATTTAATGGGTGTCCAAAAGTATTAATATCAGATATGGGTACTGAGAATGGATTGGCAGCATCAATCCAGTGTTATTTTAGGGATGAATTTGGAGCTCATCGCTATGTGCCATCGACACGAAATCAACGCATAGAAGCGTGGTGGTCATTTTTTGTGCGAAATAGGTCATCATGGTGGAGGAATCACTTCAAAGACATGGAGTCAGACGGAATGTTAGATTGTGCTGCTGAAATAAGGATGGAATGTCTTTGGTATTGCTTCGCAGAACTTATTCAAAATGACTTAGATTTTGTAAAAGAGCATTGGAACTGTCACCGAATTAAAAAATCAAGGCATAATACAAGATCAGGACGTCCCGATTCTCTTTTCTTCCTACCAGAACATCATGGTGCTATTAATCTTTTGAGTATAGTCCCTCAAGAAGAGATTGACTATGTTTCCCAGCCTGTAGTGTATTGAAACAGCAGAAATGAATATCAAGAATACTTCGACTATGTACTATCTCACTAGTAATTCGTACAAAGATAGCATGTTTCTTGAAGCAATTACCAAAAATGAAATAGAATTAGAAATATCTAATATGAATCAAAATAAAAGTCCTGGATATGATAATATTAGTTCGAAATTTTTAAAATTAACTGCCAGCAATATTTCTGAGCCTCTGCTCATATATTTAATTTGACTTTCCTAAGTGGTATTATCCCTGATAAGCTAAAGATAGCATTAGTTACACCTATTTTTAAAGCTAATGAAAAAAATAAATTTAACAATTATAGACCTATATCTGTTCTTTCATGTTTTTCAAAATTATTAGAAAAAGATTAATCAACTTTATAGAAAAAAACAAGATATTATCAAAACATCAATATGAGTTTAGACAAAACAGATCAACAGATTTTGCAATTATTAAACTTTTAGATAAAATTACTAGAGCAATAGATAAAGGATAATACACTATTGGTATATTTTTAGATTTGTCCAAGGCTTTTGACACAATTAATCACAGGATTTTGATTAAAAATTAGAATATTATGGCCTAGGAGGAATATCTCAACAATGGTTTCAATATTATTTAACAAATAGAAAAAAATTGTAAAATACAATCAGGCGAGATCAAAAGAAATGACAATCACAAGTGGAGTCCCCCAGGGTTGACCACTGTTGTTCCTTTTGTATATAAACGATATACAGCATTGCAGTAAAATAGTTTCATTTATATTATTTGCGGATGACACAACGATATCTCATAGTAACAAATGTCTTAAAACATTAAATGAAATTACGCAAGTAGAAATTAATAAAGTAGCCGAATGGTTAAATATAAATAAATTATCTATAAATACTTAAAAAACAAAGTTTCTCCTATTTAGATCTTATAACAAAAAAAAACAGAATTTTAATGTAACAATAGAAATAAACAAGGAAAATTTAAAACAGGTAAAAAATACCACATTCCTTGGTATTGTTATTGATGAATGCTTGAGATGGAATGAACACGTGGATTTAATAGCAAAAAAAGTTATTAAATCTGCTGGAGTAATAGCAAAAATAAGTCATTTTACAAATTTAAATGCTTTTAAGCTTATTTACTATGCTTTAGTCTATCCATATCTTATCTATGGAAATATAATCTGGGGTATAATACCTACAAAAAAAGAATCCAAAAACTTATGAATGCTCAAAAAAAAATTGTGCGCCTTATGACTTTCAACTCTCATTTGGCACATAGCGAACCAATCTTTAAAGACTTAAAAATTCTAGATATTTATAAAATTAATGATTATTTAATAAGTTTATTTATGTTTCGATATCATTATTATCATTTATAGACTTGGAGCGAGGGGGATTCGGCGAAATATTATCCGAAGTGATGATATTTCCCGAGGGGCTTTGCTCCGAGGGAAATATTATCACTGGGGGTAATATTTCGCCGAATTCCCCGAGCGGAGGGTCTATAAATGATATATTATACCGAAAATTAAAAGCCTTCAAGTTGAGAAATAAAAACTTGCCACATACCTTCGTAAATACGATGTTTTATTTTCGGATTAACGCAAGTATCGTCGATTTTCTTTCGAATCACATTTCGTTTGGAATATTAATGACAACATTTTTCAAAATTTACTTCAAAATTTTGAAAAAGCCCCAGGTTTTACAGTCATTTACCCAGATTATTCATCGCTCATCAATACCATTTATATTTTGTCGGCCATGTTGTTGTCATGCGTGTTGTCTCGCGTGATCTACGCGAATAATGTCCCCGGGGAACATGGGGTGGAACCATAGATATAGGAAATCTAGATTGCTAACGCATACCTAGCGCAGGCGGGGCCTACATGATAAATCCAAGATGGCGGTACAAGAGGGCAAAAAGACTATAGATTCTATTAAGAAAATGAAGATTTTGCAATTTTTTGCGGTCGCATAGTTTTGAAACTTATTCGGTCAAATTTTATGGTAAAGAGAAACTTACCGCGAAGATTTTGAGCATATATATGATTGAATTGGATGAAAACTCGCAAAATTATCCAGCGATAAAAGTTCGTGTATAGTACTGATATAGTACTATATATGTAACTTGTACAGTTTTGCTTTAATTTTTGCTCACTAATTGCATAGAAAGCAAATTATAACAGATCATAGATGATAGACCCTTATCCAGTGCTCTCATCAGTTTACTTCTCTAACAAACAAGGAGGGGGGGGGGTATATAACAGTTCATTTTTCATAATTATGAGGACAGAGCAGATGATGATGAAAGATGCAAGTATAAAACACCATTCACAAGACTAGATGTTAACATAGCACAGTATTTCTGGCAATAAAACGCTCCAACTGACCAACTGACCATTTCACACGAACTTTTATCGCTGGATAATTTTGCGAGTTTTCATCCAATTCAATCATATATATGCTCAAAATCTTCGCGGTACGTTTCTCTTTACCATAAAATTTGACCAAATAAGTTTCAAAACAATGCGACGGCAAAAAATGCAAAAATCTTGATTTTCGTAATAGAATCTATAGTCTTTTTGCCCTCTTGTACCGCCATCTTGGATTTATCATGTAGGCTCCGCCTGCGCTAGGTATGCGTTAGCAATCTGGATCTCCTATATCTATGGGTGGAACATTGTCAAAAAGAACGCAGGCTCGCTAATTGATGACGTAAGGCGTGATATCGCGATTAATTTCATGCTCACGTGGCACAAACTAAGCTTCCTTATTGGACAATTTGAATTTGAGATATAATATTACCAAAAATCTACCAGAGGTATTCACTGATTACTTTGTGACCAATGATCAAATCCACCAACACAATACAAGAAATAAAACACAACTCCACAAGTCATACAAAAGAACGAACTATGTAAAACATACTCTTTCAAATAATTAAGGAGTCGATGTTTGGAATAGACTTGAATATCATTTTAAAAATATAACTTCTCGTAATACATTCAAAAATACTATAAAAGAACACTTCCTTCAAATATCAAGTAATTAATCAAATTATATGGTGCTTGAAATGATGAAAATGTGGGCATGTACTAAAAGGTGAAACGTCGAAACGAAACGGCCGAAACCATCGAAACCACCGAAACGACCGAAATGAAACAACCGAAACGAAACAACCGAAACGAAACGACCGAAACAAAACGACCGGAACGAAACGACCGAAACAAAACGGCCGAAAATGTAAATTACAGGAAAATTGAAAAATGCGGATACGGACGGACGGACTTGGGGGGACAGGCGGATGGACGCGGGACAGGCGGATGGACGGGGGGGACGGCTTCATTATAAAATCAAATCCGCGTTTTGTTGAAAGGGTTATATTAGGATATATTATAAAAGACTATTATTAATCATAATAGATTGTCCGCGAAAAGTTGATAAAATACATGTGGAAGTTCGGGGTTTTTCGAACCTTCGTAACGCTTGATATAAGGATAAAACGCGCATATGCTGCAACTTTCATGCTTAATTTTCTCAGTCATCTGGGTATATAGTAATCTAATTTTATGCAATGTAATGTGTTATATTTTCAAGGGCTTTTCAATGCAGTTATCGGTTTAAATATACCTAAAATTCCCGTTAAGAGATATGACAATTGTCGTACGGCCTACTTTTACGCAAACGAAAATTAGCTACAATGTAATTTTATGCCAATGTATTGTGCTGATGAAATTTCCAGTTGTAATTTGCGTTTGCGTAAAAATAGTCCGTACGGCAATTGTCATATCTTAACGGGAATTTGAGTTATATTTAAACCGATAACTGCATTGAAAAGTCCTTGAAAAAACAGCACATTACATTTCATAAAATTAGATTACTACATACCCAGATAACAGAGAAAATTAAGCATGAAACTGATTTTTGCAATTGCAGCTAAATTAAATTTTCGTTTGAGTAAAAGTAGGCCGTACGGCAATCGTAGTCATATCTCTTAACGGGAATTTTAGGTATATTTAAACCGATAACTGCATTGAAAAGCGATTGAAAAAATAGCACATTACATTGCATAAAATTAGATTATTAGATACCCAGATGACTGAGAAAATAAGCATGAAAGTTGCAGCATTTCCGCGTTTTATCTTTATATCAAGCGTTACGAAGGTTTGGAAAACGCCGAATTTCCACATGTATTTTATCGCACACATATATTTCGCGGACAATTCATTACGATTAATAATAGTCTTTTATATGATATATCCTAATATATCCCTTTCAACAAAACGCGGATTTGATTTTAAAATTGAGTTTCATGTCAAATGAAGCCGTCCCCCCCGTCTATCCGCCTGTCCCCACCGTCCATCCGCCTCTTCGCCCGTCCATCCGCCTGTCCCCCCCCCCGTTCATCCGCCTGTCCCCCCGTCCGTCCGTATCCGCATTTTTCAATTTTCCAGTAACTTATTTTCTGCCGTTTCGTTTCGGTTGCTCGTTTCGGCCGTTTCGTTTCGGTCGTTTCGTTTCGACGTTTCGCCTTTTAGTACATGCCGAAAATGTGAGCAATACAATAAATTCACTTTGAACGCACTGTAGGGCAGATTTTTAATCGTTGCATTTCACCATGCATGGAGAACATTTTATTCATTTCATCTACCTTCAATAGTTATGATAATACTGAGATGTGTACCAATGATCAAAATTGGTTTATACCCAACACTATCATGGGTCTCTGTAAAGAACGGAAACCGAAACGACCGAAACCGGAAACGACCGAAACCGGAAACGACCGAAACTGGAAATTCCCGCCTAATTTCCTGCATAAAATTGCCTAAAATTTAGCCTGCTAGCAGGCTCACTGGTAGAAAGGTGAGCCTGCACTGAACCATGCGTTTTATTAATTCATCCCTTATAATAAACAAAGACTGTCAACTATCAAATTGACGCAGGGCGTGAAATGTACAACGATGAAATGTATAAAACATGTGTGTAAACTCCAAAGATCGATAACATTTTTATATTTATCAACGTTTGGCTATATTTCAATCATCATCAGGATAAAGAAATGTATATAACAATCATACGAAGCATTAGCAAGCCGCACAATATATTAAATATAGGCTGGAGATAATACATCACGAGTTAATCAATACACTTATATCTCATTTGTGTCGGTTTTCTTTGATCGTCCGAGGTTTGTAACTAGCTAAATATACCTTGAATAAAAATTTCATCAAACTTTTCGACAAAACGAGAGAATTTTTCATCAAAAATTTTTGAAAATGACCAAATATGTTAGAAAACCTCTACAAATGAGATATAAGTTAGTTTTACGCGTCCTCGGGGGAAATATATCAGTTATAAACCTCCTTCTCGGTTTATAACTTTAATTAACATACAAATTAAAAGTCGAATAAAATACTACCATTGAATGCAATAATACTTGGACTACTTGTGATTGAAAGAACAATGTTCTGAATATTTGAAGTTATTAAAATGCAGTCAGATAAATTGGGATTTGGAATACGTCTAAATGAGCATGTATTTATTTTTTTCAAAATCAAGAGCATGCCATTTTAGTGGAAGCTGTATCGTATGTCAAATGAGAAAGTGAATGCAATATCGCTTTTATTAATTTAAATTAAACAAAACCGGCATGAACAGGCATTGTTCAGAAAGTTAATAATATGCAGTAAGATTATTAAATAATTGACAAAATTGACAGCATTTAAATAGTATACAACCTTACTTTCGGACGATATTTATCTAAATGTTATGCCAGCGATTGAGCATCAACAATATATTATTCGTTATGCGGGAAATTTAGGCGGGAATTTCCGGTTTCGGTCGTTTCCGGATACGGTCGTTTCGGTTTCCGTTCTTTACAGAGACCACACTATCATGCCAACTTTGGCCTGATTACTAACAAGGCCAGAAACAAGGTACTGTATATGTTACATTTGTTGATGTTGCGAATTGTTAATCTGACAAATGGTTGCAGGCTACTGTAAATGAGAAAAATAAAGTCAAACATGGAAAGAGTAGAAACAACAGAAAACAACATTATTTAAATACTGAATATGAATAAACCAAAATGTAGGATAATAAGTTACCATATTCCAGTCACCACTTATAATAAAACTGCGAACTCAACAATGTTAATGTGCCATGCAATTAAATAATCTACTGTTTTTGCATTCCCAGTTGTAGGACTGTACCGGTGATTCCCGTCACCATTTATAATGTAAAATCAGAAACTCAACAATGTTACTGTACCATGCAATTAAATAATCTACTGCTTATACATTCCCAGTTGTAGGACTGTAATGGTACAGGGGTAGCTGTACTTAAAAGTTATCGCCTTGGTCTATTTCCTTTTTCGTATATCAATTTGTTTAATTAATAGAACCAAAACAATATGGATCCTATTAATATGACACTTTAACGCACAATACAAAATTCTTTGTTTTCAATCGCGTGATGTTTAATATGGACAATTTTTCTCCTATCAGAATGGCTGTAGCAAGAAAAACTGAATGATAATTCTTCATTTGAGTCTAAAACTGTCTCTAAACTCAATACATTGACATAGCTGGTTTTTTGTTATAGCATTGCAAACAAAGAATTAAGAGTCCGTCTCTGTAATTTCCGACCACTCGATACTGGTTCAAAAATAAACCTAGCCTTAAACTTTGTGTGTGGATTAAGAAACCCTTGCTTATCATCAATACAAAAGGGGTTTGTTTCAAATTTCAAAAGATTTCGATATTTGGGCAATTTTACGTGTGTACGTCGAAGCACGAAATTAGCATCGCTGCAACACACAAAAATTAGTCATCTTTGTCACGTTCTCGCGCTCTCAAAAATGATTCAATCCGAGATATACTCTGCAGGCCTGCAGTTTATTACACTAGCTCAGCATTTATGAACTCAAACTTTGGATGTCTTAAAACAACTTGGAGATAGTGCCGACTATAAATACGCGGCTAATCGACCGGGTGAAAAAGTAGCATTTCTAAATATATATTTTCTCCATACTGGCACAACTCTACTTATCAAGAGTTATACACGCTTAATAATTACGAATAACAGCACTAGTTTCCGTAAAAACATCCATGGCTATCATCACTGGGACAAAATAAAACAAATTTGAAATGTGAGGATTTTACATACCTGCGCACGCTAGTTACGGCAATTTACATTCATAATTATCCGCTACAAATCGTAAAACAATCGCACATCAAATAGCTCGGAACAGTGGCTAATACTGCAAAATGTGTTGAAGTCAAGTGTCATTGTGTCAAGATATAATGTGACACTGTAGAAAGTCTCGCTTCATCATCTCCACGTTTATAGCCGTTTTATTACAACTGTAGTTTTATCCATCTTCCAAATTTGAATCCACACAAAAAACAGGATCCTCCAGAGTACATAACAGCATAACTGTATTCAAATGCAGGCTGGCTGTATAAACTGTTCAAAGTCCATGATGTCCATCTAATTTGCAACAAATTCAAATATTCAATGCGACGTTTCATAGCATGTTGACATTGCGTTGTCTGATAAACAAACTTGTCAGTTGCATTGGCTGTGGCATTGGTCAGTTGTCGCCAGTGCTTCCACAACCACGTCTTCAAATGTCCTTTCATGATCAATTTCATAATCTCAAAATTTCTCTGCCACCGAAGACAAAAGAAAGAAAATTCAGGCAAATTTGAGTCAATTTATCACAACACATGTTTTAAAATTAAGTTGTACTGTAAGTACCATCGATGCAGCCCCGGCGCAATGCTTGGTCCCAAGTAGGTCACATCCATTTGCGCTTTTGCATATATTAAACAGCGATAATTACACATTTTAGCGCAAAGAATCGACAGTATTAATCAATATATAAAGCTCTCTGTTTTGACGCAGACGAGTCCACGCATAAACTTCGAAAATATAATTACATTACCTGAAATTTTAGACAAGCTTGCAAAAGGAAGTGGAAGCACTGAGGACAGTTCGTTAATATCCTTTATAGCAATGGCTAGTTCTAGTCAAAGTTCAAACTGTGGTTTCTATAATATTCACGAAAAAGCATGCGGATTTTCCAGTGCATGTTTCAAGTGTAAAACAACGCGTAAAAATGTTTGGGCCGAACGGTTGCTTGCAAATGGTAATAAAGATTCTCACGCGAATAGACAATTTTTTATCCGCGACCGCAACTGTTCACCTCTAGTTGCAAGCGACGGTAAACGAGGCGAAAATTGGCAAGTTTGTTTATCATTAGAAAGAACGCAATGTCAAAATAAAGTTCCCATTCAATTTGTTACAAATGCATCATCTTCATGCAGTTTGTACAGCCTGCATTCGAGTAAAATTATGTCTATGGAGGACGCTGTTTTGTGTTTTTATGGCCGCTTTGGAAGTTGGATAGCAGCCATAAACATAGCGCCGCTGTATCGGCATGGAGGTGATGAAGCGATCTTTCTTTCCACAGTCTCGCAACATAGAGAAATCCTTGAAAGTGTTCTCAACACAACGACACTTGACTTCAACACATTTTGCGCTAAGATGTGTAATTATCGCTGTTTAATATATGCAAAAGCGAAAATGGATGTGACCTACTTGGGGCCAAGCATTGCGCCGGGGCTACATCGAGGGTACTTACAGTATGACTTAATTTTAAAACATGTGCTATGATAAATTGACTCAAATTTGCCTGAATTTTCTTTCTTTTGTCTTCGGTGGCGGAGAAATTTTGAGATTATGAAATTGAATGCGAAAGGACATTTGAAGAGGTGGTTGTGGAAGCACTGGCACAAACTTGTTTATCAGATAACGTAAATGTCAAAATACTATGAAACGTCGCATTGAATTTGTTGCAAATTAGATGGACATCATGGACTTTGAACAGTTTATACAGCCAGCCTGCATTTGAATACAGTTATGCTGTTATGTACTCTGGAGGATCCTGTTTTCTTTGTGGATTCAAATTTGGAGGATGGATAGAATTACAGTTGTAATAAAACGGCTATAAACGTGGCGCCGCTGTATCGGCAAGGAGATGATGAAGCGAGACTTTCTACAGTTTCGCATTACATCTTGACACAATGACACTTGACTTCAACACATTTTGCAGTATTAGCCTCTGTTCCGAGCTATTTGATGTGCGATTATTTTACGATTTGTAGCGGATAATTATGAATGTAAATTGCCGTAACTAGCGTGCGCAGGTATGTAAAATCCTCACATTTCAAATTTGTTTTATTTTGTCCCAGTGATGATAGCCATGGATGTTTTTACGGAAACTAGTGCTGTTATTCGTAATTATTAAGCGTGCACAACTCTTGATAAGTAGAGTTGTGCCAGTATGGAGAAAATATATATTTAGAAATGCTACTTTTTCACCCGGTCGATTAGCCGCGTATTTATAGTCGGCACTATCTCCAAGTTGTTTTAAGACATCCAAAGTTTGAGTTCATAAATGCTGAGCTAGTGTAATAAACTGCAAGCCTGCAGAGTATATCTCGGATTGAATCATTTTTGAGAGCGCGAGAACGTGACAAAGATGACTAATTTTTGTGTGTTGCAGCGATGCTAATTTCGTGCTTCGACGTACACACGTAAAATTGCCCAAATATCGAAATCTTTTGAAATTTGAAACAAACCCCTTTTGTATTGATGATAAGCAAGGGTTTCTTAATCCGCACACAAAGTTTAAGGCTGGGTTTATTTTTGAACCAGTATCGAGTGGTCGGAAATTACAGAGACGGACTCTTAAACTTCCGAGTGCTGTGCCAGAAAATACGGCAGGGACTTGATATATAGCTTTTTGATGTCCCATAATTCTTTTGTGAATTACTGATTCATCCACATGTTAAATTGCTCATGCTTTTTCAAAAGTCTGTCCTTTGGAGATAGCCACCATAAAAACATCATTAAACTCTTCAGCTGTCTTCGTATGAGGGACGGGAAATGAAATTTCTTTGGCACAAGCTCTAACTGTTGGATAGCAGATGCGATGGTTTGGATTATGCATAGCACAATCATGATTGAATCTAACCGTGACTGTAAGCGGTTCTTCATCGAGAGGTTTGTGTTTTTGGCCAGTAAGCCACCCCATGATTCCTGCAGCAGTGCATTCTGGAGAGAGTACTAGCTGTTCCTGTTCGCGTTCGGCACCTGCGCTATCATCGTCACTGGTTGCAAGTGCTTGTGCGTAACCAGAAACGCATGGCTTATCTTCCCGACCAAACAAGAAATCCTGGAGGAAATCCATCATCGATTCTTCGATTTTTTTTCGTGTGCTCCTGCTTCTGAAAATTCTGGATTCATTATTGAAAACAGGTAATTAGCATCAACAGCACTTTCGTCATGATCATCTTGTACAAAAAGAGCTTTGCATACATTGGGGTGGGTTTGGAGAATATTTCTTAACCCATACGAATCAAGCCCGGCCATGCATGAATTCATTCAGATAGACTAACCTCTTGGTTACAATGCTGACGACAATAGACTGCCGAATTTCGCCAATGTGGGAATCATCAATTATTCCTGTATAACCGTGGTCAATAATGGTGTTGGTGTTCTTCATTACATCCTCCAGAATAGAATCTAATAGAATTCTGTCCGATGCTGTTAAATTTGTTTCACAGTTAAGTTCCTGAAGTGATATACTTGGGTTTACCAACAAATAATACACGGTTGCATCAAAACAGCGGAGTGCAGGTCCACCCTGGGCGAGGCTTGCTGCTGTGATCTCACCACAAGCCTTGAAGTTTCCATTTTGGATGTGAAGTGTCGAATCTACAGGTATTCCACGAGGAAACATACTCGAACCGATTTTAGAAAGAGTTAAAGTGAAGAACTCTTCCTATGGCACCAGAATCTATCCCTTGCTGACCACTGAATTGTACTCTCACCACATATCGAGATGATGCAGGCTTTCTTTTTACTTCTCTGCTCCAGATTGAAAGTACTCTATTTAGTTGGGCATTTTGCCTCAGAACAATAAACAGTTGTTTGTCTGATGAATGCACTTTCTCGGCCAACATTTTCACAATGCCAACTATTGAGGGTGGTGATTCACTAGATTCTTTAGCCGTGACATCAGATGGAACCGCAGATTGTTCATTGTTGTACAGATCATGTAGGTGGTTAGCCAGCTGATGATCTTGTTCAATTTGATCTGATTTATCTGAATCATCTTGTCGATCAGGCTTTACATCCTGTGTGGGTGCAGTTGTGAGGTCAATGCTGATTGAGCTATTGTGTCGAGGACGTTTGGCAGGGTTGTCATTCTCTTGAGCATTATCTGAAACATTGCTAAGGGTTCTGACTGAAGGGTCAGAGAAAATGTCACAATCATCATCAACATTTTCACAGTCAAGTAGGCCTTCCGCTTTTAGAAAATCGTGATTTGGGCAGAGAAATAATTTAGGTAATTCGCTTAAAGTCTTTTCCTAATTCCTCGTGGTATCTGTTTAATGTGAATGGCTCCTTGTCTGAACCGGGTATGAAGACTGCCTGCTGTCCATCTTCATACAATAGGTGGTATTGTTGATTCTCGTCATACAGATCACTGTGAAAATTCTTCCACTTATGCTCAGCTTCTCTACGCAGTATAGTGTAAGTAGAATTTATTGCGACAATAAAGCTGAAATCTGAAAAAGGTGAAATCTGCTCAGGTGTTGTAGAAATCGAAGATTTTCTAATTTGGATATGCTTTTCTGGACAGTTATTACTTGTTTAAAAAACAAAGAGCATCTGACTGGCATAACACAATAACTAAAGATTTATGAATTTTTCAAAAACTACTAACTGTAGTTGCTATGGAAACAATGACAAACGCAATCGAAGACTCCCAAAACTACAAAACATAGCTGCTCGGACTATTTTGGATACGAGCAATAACATACTGTAGATAATTCTGCTGTATTGCAAGCATTGGGTTGGAAGCCACTTAAAACAGAAACGGAAGAAAAGTAAAACAAAAATCATGTACAAATTATTGAATCAAATGGGACCTAAATCACTCACTAATCTCTTCACGTATAAGGGTGAGGTGACAAACTACAAACTTCGATCGAAACATTTCAAGTAGTCTTTGTTTAATATGAAAAAAAGTTTTGTGTATGACGGAGCACACCTTTGGAATTCTATTCCTAAAGAAATAAGAGAGAGCACATCCTTTCTCCCTTTCGAAAGAAAATCTTTACTCACATTGATTGATAGATAACTGAAAACATAAAATATTATATTACCTGTATATAGATTATTACCTTAGTTTGTTAGTTCATATAGTACTATATATCTTATATGATTTATAAATAGTATTAAAATTCTTTTCTGTATACTATTTGCACGCCCCTCGTGGAAATCAGCTTCGGTTGACGGGGTCAACGTGTTTAAATAAAGTTTATATATCTTTATCTAACATGGCAGATATTTTATGCTTAAAATAATTTAACTCGAAAAAAGGTCCGTTACTCCAATTTTTTATTTCATAAAATCATTTCTATTAGTATTTTGAATTATTTTTCCAATTTAAAAAAATTCTGACATGCGAAAATTTTTCAAGCTAGGAAAATGTGAAAATTCGTAATAATTTTTTGGCCATGATAGAATTTTTCAAAAATATACTAAAAGGAATGATTTTATGAGATAAAAAATGGGGGTAACCGAATTATTTTTTTCGAGTTAAATTACTGTACTTTAAACATAAAATATCTGAAATGTTGTGACGTCATTGTTGCCATAGCAACGGCAGCTACAATAGGAGTAGTTTTTTTTTAATTTCCTAACTCCTTAGTTATTGCATTAATAGTTAATACCACTCAGATACTCTTTGTTTCTAAACAAATAATAACTCTCCAGAACTTCATATCCAAGTCAGAAAATCTTTAATTTTTAAAAAGTGTACAAGGCTTACTGTAGAATTAAACAAAAGTTATTCCAAATAAGGAGTGCATAATATTAACACACAATTTATAAAAACAGTTTTTTATAAATTGTGTGTTAATGTTATGCACTCCTTATTCGGAATAACTTTTGTTTTATTTTTGCTGAAATTATCAGCTGGAAAAGGTTACTGTAGAAGCATCTGGTCCTATAAAATAGAATGTTATAATATCATATTACAGTCAAACCGAATGTTCTCTTGCGAGCAATATTGCAATATTGTCCCACAATATTGCAATTTTGATAGGCAGATTGCTCTGAGCAATTTACAAGTGATGGGAACAAATTGCAAGTTGAAATTCACAAAAGATTTCTATTTGGACTATAAGAAAGAGGGAAACACCAATCCAGTTGCTCAGACTATTTGATTGCAATGATTGGCTTCCCTCTTTCTTATTGTCCAATCAGAGGCTTTGTTTACAAATCTTTTGTGAATTTCAACTTACAATTTGTTCCCGTCACTTGCAAAATGCTCAGAGCAATCCTATCAAAATTGCAATATTGTGGGGCAATATTGCAATGTTGCTTGAAAGAGAACATCCGGTTTGACTGTAACTAGTAATTAAATCTGGGTCATTTGTATTTTGAGCAAAGTTTTGGCGGTGGGCCACAAGGAATTATTGCTAACCTCAGTGTTTCCACTTTCAAGGAAATTTCCTTTTTCAAGGAAATTTTGACGGAAAAAAGACGTTTCAAGGAAAAAAAAGAAATCAATGAAATCTAAGGAATATTTGAAAATTCTAAGGAAATTTAAGGAATTTCTGAGTCAACTGAAATGTTTTGAAGATTCTTTCAGGAACCTTTCATTAATTTTAAATAATATTACTTACCTTACACAAGAGTTTTCACTAAAAGTATTCTAGATATTATTCCAAAACCTATAGCGCAAGCTGCATCGCCTTACTCTAACTTAGCCTAATGTAAAGAATAATATAAGGCTCCTTTTAAGCTTCCACTGGTTAAGAAAAGATGGGACATCTTCATAACCTGTCAGCAAAAGATGGGACATCTTTCTGACACAAGAGTTTTCACTAAAAGTATTCTAGATATTATTCCAAAACCTATAGCGCAAGCTGTATCGCCTTACTCTAACTTAGCCTGATGTAAAGAATAATATAAGACTCCTTTTAAGCTTCAACTAGTTAAGAAAAGATGGGACATCTTTCTGACACAAGAGTTTTCACTAAAAGTATTCTAGATATTATTCCAAAACCTATAGCGCAAGCTGCATCGCCTTACTCTAACTTAGCCTGATGTAAAGAATAATATAAGACTCCTTTTAAGCTTCCACTGGTTAAGAAAAGATGGGACATCGTCATAACCTGTCTTACAAAGGATGCGACATCTTTCTGACACAAGTCTAGAGTTTTCACTAAAAGTATTCTGGATATTATTCCAAAACCTAGCTAGCGCTATCGCTGCATGCGCCGCTTTACTCTAACTTAGCGTGGTGTAAAGAATAATATTATAGACTCCTTTTAAGCTTCAGCTGGTTAAGAAAAGATGGAACATCTTCATAACCTGTCAGCAAAAGATGGGACATCTTTCTGACACAAGAGTTTTCACTAAAAGTATTCTAGATATTAGTCCAAAACCTAGCGCTGTCCATGTGGCATACTCCAAATTGATATTTCAACTATACTCTATAGGTATAGCCACAAAAATATTGGATATTGTCAAATCTGAAAGCCAGGGGTACGGCTCATCTCCGCGTTTACTCATCACTAGCTCGCCCGGGAAATAATCTGGCGATGCCCAGCGTAATGTCTAATGAGAATGATATCAAATTTAGTTCAATGGGCCATTTTAGACTAATTTTCGATCCTTTTGAAAATGCTTACGCAAGTCAGTGGCGTAACGGGAGGGTGTCAGGGTGTCCAGTGACGGGGGGCCCCCGAACTTTAGGGGCCCTCGACAAAAATGACCTTAAAAAATTTGATAGCATATTTCTGGGGAATTGAATTAATTGAATTGAATAAAAAAAAACCCATTCTCTGGAAAAGGCAAAATCCGTCGAGAAATTTCCCGAAGCTGCGACGGATTAAGTACGTCGCGGCCGAGGTAAAGGACGCGAGATACTAGAATGAATTAATTGCAATTTCATTGGGTATGTCCGGAAAAAATTTTGGACCCCTAAAATGGTACAATGTCCGAAAATTTTTTGGTGCCTATTTTTAGTGGAGCAAAGGGGCCCAAAGTGGCCGATTGACGGAGGGCCCCCAGCGGTTGCGTTACGCCACTGACGCAAGTTTAATTTAAACGCTGATATGTCAGTCAATATTTCGTGATATCTCATGTATAACCTATCAAAATTTAAGTTAGCCTTTTATGAATACAGCTACATTTATTTGAGCGATGTATAGCTCTTATAGTTTTTTCGCTATGGTAGATCAAACGCATGAACTTTTTTTGCGCCACCCGGTATATATATGTAAATAAATATTATTTGTCTTGTGCTACCTTTATCAAAATATAGAAATGAGTATATTAAATAACGAATATAGTACAATCTAACTCGCGGTTGCATGCGATAGCCCTGCGTGAAAGCAGTGGTATGTAGCATACTGTATATACTAAAGAAACAATAACTTATTGCGTGCTGCAATTAGTGCAATACCTATAGGCTATAGCCTTTTGACTATTACCTAACCTTACTGATTGAAAATACTTCGCATTAATCTTTAATCTTTATTCTTTAATAAGCAGCCATCAAAATATTGCCAGTTTGTTCGATCTTGATCTCCATCCTGAATCCATACACACGATTTTGGCGCAATTTGAACTTTGCGCGGCATTGTCTGCCAACATTATTATGAATTGGTGATGACAACCTGGTTTGTATGTTAGCTCAGTTAGTTATTTGCTACATCA